GGCAGGGCTGTCATAGAGCAGATAACATCACATTTATTGCCAACAGTGCCAGGAAAAATTTTACCTTGACCATTATGTGGCTGGAGCACAGCCCACCTCTGACCTTCCTTTCAGAGCGACTTACTAGAAAATGTAACAGGCGTGACTTGGAAGCATGTCCCACACAACCTGAGACGCGGATGGAAGCATGGATGAGGGAACTGGGAGGGCAGAAGTAAAACAAAAGCAGGAAGTAAGCCTTTATGTCTGACGACTAGGCTTCATTTTAGTGCCAACCCTGATAGATTGGTTGTTAGAAAGTGTTGGGAAAGACTGACACTTATTAATGATGTTTTCTTTATCAGTTATCTACCACTACCTAGCAAGCCACTCCAAAATGTAAGGGTTAAAAAATCCCCCACGTGATGTTGTCACAATTCTGTGGGTCTATAGTTTGGCCTGGCCTCAGCTAACCTCCTGTGCTGGCCACACGGGGGGGTCACCCAGGTGACTCCTGTCCTCCAGTGTCTTGAGCTGGGTGTCCTGAGATGAGCTCACTTACATGCCTGAATGTGGGTTCTAACTGTTGGCCTGGCCTTCCTCAACGTGGTTCTCATGTTAAGGAGGCCAGTCTGGGCTTCTTTGTGGGATGATCTCAGTTTCCAAGAGGGTAAGAGCAGAGGCTGCAAGGTCTTTTGTGGCCCAAGCTCAGGAGTTCTACATTGGTCGAGTAAATCACAAGTCCAACACAGATTCAAGGAGTGTGGACAGATTCCATCTCATGATTGGAGAACCAGGCAAGTCACAGTGCAAAGGCTTACTGGGGAAGAGCAGATTTTTGAAGCCATCTTTGAGAATCACCTATCGCATGTCTAAGGCCAGTGAGGGTACGAGGGAGTCGTGGATAGCAGAGTCAGAACATGCGTATTAACCAGTCCTGTGCTATTTGCCTTATAACAAAGTTTGGAAAGATGAACTGTGAAGGTTTCCTTTTAAGGGAGGAAGAGGGTCATCTTATCTCAGTAAATACCTATCACTCTGTGGGGACAAAGGCCAGTGGCTCTGTCACTACAGAGAAGTTTAAATGGTTTCATGAATTTTCAGACTTTTCTATATTGCTCATCTATAGCTGTTTTGGTGATTTTGAAATAAAGTTAATGATGCTGTAAGAAGGACTTTCTGATTATCACTCTGCTAAATATACAACCATAATAAATCTTGCTGGCCATCTGCTTAAATTAGAATTGTAAGTGAGCTTTAATATGGCTCGTTACTTTTATTTGAGAAACTAAATCAAATAATTGAAATCTAAAATATTCCAAATGGAAGTGACTTAGCCACAGGAAACATGGGCCACTTTGTGAGAATTCGATCATTTCGATGATAAAAAGGAAGAAAAATATAATGGGAATGAAAACCAATGTCTTCCTAAAACCTGCCAGTCATGTCACACATATTAACTCATTCACTGCTCCCAATAATTTTAAGTATTAAGTAATACTATCACCCTTTCCTCAGATGAAAAATTTGAGGTCCATGAAATGACTTGCCAAAAGTTGTCACCTATATAGATAGTTTAAAGGCCAGGATTCAACTTGAGTCTCTCTATTGTCCTAGCTCCTTTCCAATATTTATTGAGACTGATATATATTTTATATATGAATTCAGATTATGCCTATTTTAGCCCACTTAAAAACTATAATTATGGGCCGGCCTGGTGGCGCACTGCTACAGTGCGCCGCTTGGGAAGCACGGCGGCGCTCCCTCCGAGGGTTCGGATCCCACATGCAGACCGGCCGCTCACTGGCTGAGCGAGGGGCGGGAGCAACGCCGAGGGTTGCGATCCCGTTGCCGGTCCCGGTCCGGTACGGGCGCGACACTGAGGGTTGCGATCCGTTGCCGGTCACGAAAAAAGACAAAAAGGAAACAAACAAACAAACAAACAAACAAAAAACTATAATTATAAGCATTTTTTTTCAGCTGAAATGAAACTTCATAACTTTCCTCTTTAATGGCTACATAGTGTTTTAATATTTCTTTGATACACTGGACCATAATTTAATCTACAATTATGCTGATTTGGACATCCAGGTTGCTTAAGTTAGGACTCAGAATTGTGCACTAGATTATATCTGGTTTAATAAAATTTCTAGGGATGGTTGTCGTTATTTTTCGGGACCAAATGTTGTGTTTATAACTCATCTGGGCCTTGTCAATCTTTTTTTTTTCTTTCTTGTAATTGTCCTTGAAATAGTTAGGGATGGTTGTCGTTATTTTTCGGGACCAAATGTTGTGTTTATAACTCATCTGGGCCTTGCAAATCTTTTTTTTTTCTTTCTTGTAATTGTCCTTGAAATAGTATTTATTAAAAAGATTAGATCTGCTTAGACAGTTCTGGGAGGCTAAGTACATGAAATTAGGCACATACTTATGTGGCCAATATTTCTACTCATTGCACCAAAGCACTCCTGCTTATTTCAAGAGTGGTTCCTTGCTCAGAACAAACCAGTTTACATTGTAGAGCAGCATTTTCAGACTCATTAAGAAGGGTGAGGTTCCAAGGTCCCAAAACAGAACCTGGAGAAATCAGAATGTACGTCCCACCTCTAGCCAGTAGATGTCTCTATTTCATTCACCCTCCATTGCAAGTTCCTCCTGAATGGGAAGATCAAGAGCAAAATCTTTGGGTGGGAGCTCATCCCACCCCTTTTGTCACCTCCCACCAGCCTCCACCTGTCCCCTCACCTAGTTTCCTGATTCATGGCATAAAGGTAATTGAAACAGGAGTGCCATTTGAGTTTAAACACATTTTCTACTTTACCAAATCTGTTTGCAAAGTGGGGATGGTAACTGAAAGCAGTCTCTAAAGAGCCGAAGCCTTTTCTCTTTAAATAGCACATACTCTGAGCTAAAGGCTATATTACTGAGTCATAACAATTAATTACATTCGGAGGTGAGAAGACAGGATTACGCTCTAATGTGATTTGAATTTAGGCCTTTTTCTCATCCCACTGCTATTTAAAACAAAATCACTTTTCCACAGAAGCATCTGCAGCTAAGGATGGTTTCAAAGCTTAGTCTGAGACATCCCTGGCAACTGAATATTCCTGTTTTAGCTTCCTGAGGAGTTTAATGTACACATTTGGATTTTCTAGATTTTTGTAATGAAGCGAATCTCTTTCTCCTTTGGGATTTGGTAAAAAAGAACTAGGGGCTGGGAAGGTCTATTTTTTTCATCAGGAATTTTCTAGGTGTGGGAGGTGTGCAGGATGAATGATTCGAACAGAAAAATATCATCTCAAAACACAGAACACATCGCCAAGCATGTGAGGTGCATTTCCACATAGGGCTGACACACAGACACCTCGTGAGAAGGTCCAGAGCAAGTAGCAGGGATTGGAGAAGAAGCTGAGAAGGTCTACGTGGTATTCAGCAGGAATGGGAGGGTCCTGTGGCTGCCTGTGGAGACAGAGACCAGCCCCTCAGAGGCAGCTCTGTGGCTTTGCCAGAGGATCCTGGGGACATGGGGGGTCCTGAGCTTGCCTGGGCAGGGGCATCAACATAGCGGCTATGTTGGGCCCAAAGGGGCTGCTTGGGGCCCTGGATCTGAACTGCCACTCTGACTCTCTCTGTGTACCTGTGAACCCTGTGCTCCCTGAGCCTTGGGAGATAGGGGTTTCTGTCCCTTGGAGAGTTGCTGGGAGGACCTGACGAGCTGAGGGCTGGATTCTGGGGTGTTTTGATATGTAGAAATCACTGTACCCATGTGGGATATGGAAAATGGGCAGACCCTGCCAGACATGGGTGTTTATTTTGGCAGTGCACAGGTAGCTCAGGACCCAGGCTGTGCCGATGTCTCAGTATGCAATGCCCTGAGGACCCTTCTCCTGCCAACCTGCTCTCTCTAGATCTGCTGCTGTTGAGGAGCCTTGGGCTGGCCACATGCACAATGTTCTCCTTCCCCTCTCTCTATCCCTCTCTCCCATAAACTCTTCCTACCATTGTCAAGAGGAGGGGAAGAGCTGGGCCTGTCATTTTATGGTGGCCACCACTAGCCTTTGAGCCCCCAGGCCTGGGAGCCCTGAGTGGCTTACCTTGGGGATCTTAGAGCCTCCTGCAGCACCTGGCAGGTCTCAAGAGGAATAAATGGTAGGAGAGCTTGTGTTGCCTCCTTGCCCGTGTACAGGCTCCCTGGTTCTCTGCCCAGGATGTCAACTCTCACCACGTCAGTCCCTCTCACCTTTCAAGTCTTACTCCAGACACTCCGCAGGGCCCTTATCTAAAAAGTTCTCTTCTCCCCTTCTTCCAACATCAGCCCTGTTTTATTTTCTTCCCAACATTGATCACCACCTGAGACAGCACGGGCTCATGCATGTTTTCTTGGTCATGACAATGTCCCCCAAATGGGATGTAAGCTCAGGAAAGGAGGAACATACTCTTGTCTTCTATTTGGTATCCTCAAAACCCAGCATGGGGGCTGGAGCATAATAGGTGCTCAGCAAACTCCAGTGGGAAGAATGAATGGAAGGCTCTCCCCAGCACAGTGCCAGCATGTCACAGGCGCTTCTGAGACTCCTGCCTAATGGAAACCTCGGAACCCCAGGGGTTGCAGTTTCTTTCTTTCTGCAGGAAGCCCCCTTCCCCTCCAGTCTCCAGGCTTTCTCCCCAGCCAGTCTGTCCCCTTTCCCAGCCCCCAACCCCAAATGGGGGCTTCCGCGGGGAGCAGGCCGGCGGTTCTGGCCTCCCCACGGTCCCCTCGCTGGGATTTGGGCCACTGCCCCCGCCCCCGCCGTGCGCTGGCCGGGCCGGGCGGAGCTGCGCAGAGCTCTCGCGGGCGCCAGGACAGCCGGCGCACGGCCGTGCCCACCAGTTGCCGGCAGCAGAGCGCCGCGCCGCCGCCCGCCTGCAGCCCCTGCGCCCACCGGCTCATCCCGCCCACACCGACCCCAGATGTAAAGCGGGGCCGCAGCCCCTCGCCCCCCTGGCGCGATCGACAGAGTCTCGCCAGCGTCTCCTCTGCCAACCCCCGCGGCTAGAAGATGTGGCAGCCGGCCACGGAGCGCCTGCAGGTAAGGGGAGGCCGGGGGCCAGCCTGGAGGAGGAGGTGCACGGGCCGGACGAGCGGAGGGGGTACCTCTGCCCACTTGCCGAGCTTTGCCCACAACGATCTTGGAAGACGCGTTGATGGGAACGTGATGCTGCGGGTTGAATCCGGAGCCCGGCTCCCGGCGCGGGTCAGGGGGTGATGGAATTGACACAGGGCTTCGGGCGTTACAACTTTTGGCTCGGAGGGATTCGTGTGCGTGTTGCTATATGTAACGTTGCTCTTTCTGACCAGCAATTTTAAATTGCGTTCCACGGACACAATTTACTGGTCTGGGGTTAGGGTTTTTGAATCCAGATTTTTTTTTTTTTTCTTTTTGTCTCCAAGAAAGACAGAGCAAATGATTTGTGAAAGCATCCATTTGCCAATCTAATTTGGAAATATCAAGCTAGGTTTGGCTTGGTCATGGTATGCTACTTATTTTATTTTATTTTTTACTATTCATTGGCTCTCTGCCTTCCTCTCCCCTGAACTCAAGCCCCTCCAGATATTTGAAAATAAAAAGTTTAGCCAGGAATAGCTACATCCTTGGTCATCCCATCAAAAAGTTTTTCACAGCTGTCTTCTGAAATGCCGAGCTGCCCTTGATTTGGATTCTGAAGCTAGGGAGTTGGGGAGGGGTCAAAGTGAGAAAGAGGGGCGTTTTTGGAAAGGAGCTCATCCAAGTTTAGCCAGGAATAGCTACATCCTTGGTCATCCCATCAAAAAGTTTTTCACAGCTGTCTCCTGAAATGCCGAGCTGCCCTTGATTTGGATTCTGAAGCTAGGGAGTTGGGGAGGGGTCAAAGTGAGAAAGAGGGGCGTTTTTGGAAAGGAGCTCATCCGGTGACTCTTTGAGCCTTGGGATAGGCCTGGCTTCAAGGTTTGATGACTGCCTTTTGCTTGCAAACATTCTCAAGAGAGATAGCAGCTATTCTACCACATAAAATCTACTGAATCCTGCAGTTAAACTTTTGGCAGGCTCAGAGCCACATTGTTTCATAGTAACTTTGAAGAAGTGTTTAAGTGATAAAATACAGCACCGTCGGAGACTGAGTGTATCTGAAGACTTAGGACAGTGGGGCCAGGATCCCTGGCTGGCTTGGGTGGTTTCTTAATGAACATTCAAAACCCAGGCACTGACAAATCCCTCAGATGCTGGGAGAGGCTAACCTTTGCCTAGGAGTCCTCATACTGGGAACCCCTGCAGAGGGCATTGCATTTAGCAGAAACAGATGCCCTGCAGCTCCTTCCCAAGTCTTCCCGGGCTGTGATTTGTGGGGAGTGTGTTCACTTTAACTGAGCTCTGAGATACCGGGCCAATTCCCCAGGGGGATCTCAAACAGAATAAACAAGAAAATCGGCCTTTAGACTTGGAGAAGGGGAGGTAGGTGACCAGCCTCCTACCCCCTGCTTGTCTTATCAACATCGAATATCAACATCAGGCTCAGAATGATTGGCAGAAGGTGATGTAAACGTGCGAGTACTTTGGCAGTGGCACCAGAAGCCATTGGTGCACTTGAATTTCTCTTTCAGTTCAAGGCATGAATTCTATTCCAAAGGAGCAGAAAGATTGCCAGGAGGTGGCAGGTTCCCCATCCTGGTGCAGAGAGTAGCTCTTGGAAGTCTTTAGAAAAATGTGGCCAGAGTTCCGTGAGGTGGCTTTTATGGTCTGGTGATTTGTGCCTCTGAAGAGTTTGTAGATTTTTGTCTATTGAAATGATCCCTACCGGCCTGTTTCACTTAGGGAATCCTGTATGCTCCAGAGCACATGATCCTTGGCAGGGAAGCGTTCTGGCTCATGTTCCCCACGGAGATTGTTCCTTGCTAGAAATGTCTCCTTGCTCCTCTGTGCAATGTGCACGTGTGCATTTTGGCGCGAGTCTGGTTTATTACAATTTGCATTTACAGTGCGTTTATTTTACTTCAGAGTGTCATGTTGAAAGAGCCTGGGTTTAAGGCTTTGGAAATCTCAGGTAAGCAGGACTTATCACTGACTAAGATCCAATCACTGTGGGAATTTTCACCTTCATGCTCCCCAAATTTAAATCAGTCAGTGAACCGGGTTCTCTTTTAAAAGTACATCTCAAGCCTTGAGATTATAAAAGTGAGCCAAATGGGGAAAAAGCTTCTTCTCAAATAATGGCTTTTCCTGAAAACACACAATCTGTATATTTCTTTTTGTTTCTGGGGGAGTGAACTGTGGAGGGTGCGGTGGTGAGTGAGCTGTTTGTAATAATATTTTATTTGCGTTCTTTGTGGTTATCTTTGTCATGGTCTCTGTTTTGCTGTCTGGGATTATTTCTTCCCCTTTCTGCCCTCAAGGCACCACTGTATAGAGACGTTGTTTCCTGCTCATCAGTGAGTGGGATGCTTTACCACTTCCAGATTCCGTGGCCATGAGGATAGCCGTGGAAACTGTGTCGGTGAGCCTGCTCTTCAACAAGGACTAAGCCCCGCTCTCCTTCCACATATCTTTTAAATCTTCTCATACAACCTCGTTAATTTTTTCTCATTAATTTTTAATGCAAGCTTGCTAATTTAGATGAGCTGGAGTGAAGAAGATGCTTCAAGGAAGTGTCCCCAGAGCTTCCCGATCGGACTAGGAGTCCGTTGTGTAAATACCTAGAAACTAGTGAGGTGAAGGAAGTAAAGAACGACATCCTTTCTTAATTGGTTTTATTAGTACCTATCAGATGACACTGATTCCAAAGGTCGGTGACCATGGGGGAGTGTGGCAGAACTTTGCTTGGGCCAGGCAGTTACCCTCCCTTGCTCAGGCAATGGCATCTTTGATTGGGTTTGAGCATTGTTGTCATTCCCACTTCTAGGCCCAAAATAAAATAATGCTGATATTTTCTGATTTGAGGTTTAGCTGTTTGACCCAAATCCAGCACAGGCGAAGGGACCTGTTGCCCCGAGCCCGCCTGAGCTGGGTAATTTCTCATTCAGTCGCACGAACCGCGGCAAGTGCATCTGCTCCCTTGAATGTTAAAACGTGTGTTGCATCCCACCCAAGCCCTCGCTTGCCACCAGAAATATAATAGCAGCAAAAGGGATATGAAGATTTAAATTACCACCCCAACTTTTAAAAATGAATACATATTAATTCTTCTCTTTTCACCTTCACTTCTGCACAGAGGACTTTTTTCTTGGAAGGACTCGGGAGAGTTATACATTTTTAAAGAAGCAGGTTTGAAACAGGCTCTTTTCAGAAGAGTAAAGGGGACTTTTCAGCAGAAAAAGGCGCTAAGTCGTGTTGTTTTTTTTTTTTCTGTAATAGAGATGAAATTACTTCTGGTCTTGATATTTTAAAATTTGCCTGGGTTTCCTGATTGGTTTCGTTATTGTGCTGGGTGAATCCTTTAGAAGTGACAGATCAATGTATGCAGGAGTGTGGACTGGCTTAGCCATAAGGAACGTGTATCTCCCCAGGGCACATGTCTAGAAAGCTACCAGATGTATTTTCTGGAGGTCACGAAAGGAGGAGGACAGAGGAAATATGAATCAAGACTGAGTTCCAAATAAAGGAGGCCAACACATCCTTGTCTGTGGCACAGTTCTTACGAGGATGGAGCGAACTGTGAGAGTAGGCATGTAGGGGAAGCAAGCTCTAGCAAACCATAATCGTAGAGTGTATGTGTAACCATCTTCTCACGAGGCGTTCTGTAAAGGTTTCTGTTTAATCATTTGCGACACCGAGGGTTGTGATCCCGTTGCCGGTCCCCAGTACGGGCGCGACACCGAGGGTTGCGATCCCGTTACCGGTCAGTAAAAAAGACAAAAAGGAAAAAAAAAAAAAGGAATCATTTAGCTCATATACTTCCCATACCCACTTTCACCCCCATCTTGTAGAGATAGAAACTGAAGGTCAGAGAGTTAAAATGATTTGGCCAGGGTCAGGCAGCTAGAAACAAACCAAGCAGAATTTGAACCAGGCGGTTTGACTCCAAAACTTATTTCTTAACCAATTGACTGTAGTGCAGAGGAATAAGCGAAGCATGGTGCTATCTATACACACACTGGTGGGTGCTGCTGTCATAAATGAATAGAATTAGAGTAATGGCTGTCTTGTGGGCTCCAAGGGGCTGCTGTCATACTTCTTGTTAAAGCGGCGTGGTTGCCTGTGTTGACCAAGGGCTCCCCTGTTTTTGGTGGCCCAAATCTCTGGTGGAAATAAGCTGTTGTGTCATGCTTAAGCTAAAATTCCCAAGTGCCATTGAAGGACCTCTTCAACTGGAGCACGTGGCATCTATCCAAACTAGAAACCTTGAAAGCTGATAATCAGTCCTGATCATATGCAGTCATTCGAAGTTTAGACAAAAAAATGGGGGGAAGGAAAGGAGGAGGTTGGAGAGTTCCAGAGCCGTTGCTTAGAAATAAGCAGCAGCTCCTTTTACAGAGGCAGTTTCCTCATAAATGGATTCTAGATTTTGCTGTTCTTTTCATACCTTGTAATTGAGGAAGTACAAAGCAATGGACCTTATTGTTCATAAAGAAAAATTAATTTGAGACCTTAGTCTCTCCAGAGGTAAAATACTATCTTACGTCATTAGGTCTTTCTTCAAGTTTGTCAGCAAAGTCTCTACCAAGCGATTTGCAAAATGCTAGCCTTGGAAAAATTCCCCACCCCTTGGTTACCTATTGCCTAAGATCTATTTCATGTTGACTCTGCTGGGTTATCTTCCAGTGTTAGGCAATTTGTGCATTTTGTTTGATGTTGCAGATTAGTTCCCTCCACCCTCCCCTCCACACTGACTGCGTTCTACCATGTGAATTAGCCCTGGAGGAGAGAGGCTCTGGAGGAGTCAGCTGCACAGCCCCAGTGCTGCTGGGGATCAAGCTGCCTTCCGCAGGGATATTTTACTCTGTGAATAGCAGCAGTTCAGGGCTTCTTAGTGGTCAGCAAATAAGACTAGTCCAGAAACACTCAATGATGCGGTGTGTTTCTCTCATCCCCCGTGGGCACAAATCTGAATGGAGGCT